TAAAAAAAAAAAATTACAGGGCTGGAGAGATGGTTCAGCGGTTAAGAGCACCAACTGTTCTTCCAGAGGTCCTGAGTTCAATCCCCAGCAACCACATGGTGGCTCACAACCATCTGTAATGAGATCCAATGTCCTCTTCTGGTGTGTCTGAAGACAGTGACAGTGTATTCATATATATTTAATAAATAAATAAATAAATAAAGCTATCTAAAAAAATTCCAGACTTACCAAAATCAAAGGGTTAATTAGAGAATGAAGAGTCTGCAAAGGAGTAGGAGTAATTTTTTTTTTTTTTAAAGGAGAGCAACTGCTAAGGAACAACAGCAGTTTCAGAAGTTAAGGAAGGAAACAACAGTACAGAGGAAATAAGATAATATCAAGTATGGTAAGAAGTAAGGGACTAAGCAGTGACCAGAGTTTGGGCACACAGGGTTACAGGACTTGGTAATCAACTGGTAGATGAGTGAGAAACTGGGTTAAAGGTTCAGGAGAGAAGTAGTGCACACTACCTCTTTTGCCCATCAAAAGTGAAATCAGTGGTAGACACCTGTCATTTCCAGCACATGGAGACACAGGTAGGAAGATTAGAGTTCAAAGTCATCATCAGCTGCAAAGTGAGTTCAAGTCAGCCTAGGTTATACTTGAGACCCTGTCTCAAAAAGCCACCAAGAAAAAAAAACTTCTAATATGAGCTAAATCTAGCTTATTCATATAATTACAATATATAGGAAATACAGAGACCAGAAAAACGTACTGTATAAAACCAAAGGGATACATTCAAGACAACCCAGGCTGTGGAATTTCAAAAGCCTGGCTTGGTAACAAATATCTTCATATTCCCAGCACTGGAGAGGTAGGCAGATCTCCATGAGTTCCAGGACAGCCAGAGATATATAGTGAGGCCTTGTCTAGATAAAACAAATTTTTAAAAAATGTAAAAAGAAAAAAAATTCCATAAATCTTAAACCATGGAGGTTCACAGTAATCCCAGCATTTAAGAGGTAGATACAAGAGGATGGGAAATTCAAGGTCAGGCCAGTCGGTCCTTCCACATCTTGCTAGACCATGAATTACCATAAACAAGAGCCACCCTCCCAAACTGAAGAACAAGAACTCACCATTGAAGTTAATGCTGGCAGACATGTACAAGAAGTACTATCAGGCCCTTCTAGGAATCTTGTGATTGAGTGTGCGGAGATAACAACTAGTAGACACCAGGATACCATCAGAATGGTGGTCATACAAGGAGACACCACCAGCATCATGGCAGATGCCTTGGAAAGAGTCTAAACAATGGCTTTTCACAGAGAAGTCCAAAAGGGTCCCAAGAGATTCCCCAAAGGGCCTGTCTAACTGGGTCATGGACATTTTCATATGAAACTTTTGCTAAATATATTTTTGTGCTACTGGGTACTGGGGGGGGGGGGGACAAAGAACAAAAGCAAAAAGAAATGGAGAGTGAGCAAGAGAGAAAGAGAAAGAGAGAGGGAGAGGAGAGAGAGAGAAACTCAAGGCCAGCACCAGCTATACATCCAGTTTGAGGATAGCCTGGGCTATATGAGACCCTGTCTCAAAAAAAAAAAAAAAAAAAACTTCTAAATTTAAAAATAAGATTAAGCCGGGCAGTGGTGGCGCACGCCTTTAATCCCAGCACTTGGGAGGCAGAGGCAGGTGGATTTCTGAGTTCCAGGCCAGCCTGGTCTACAGAGTGAGTTCCAGGACAGCCAGGACTGCACAGAGAAACCCTGTCTCAAAAAAAAAATCAAAAAAAAAAAAAAAGGTAAAAAGCTAATTCCAACATTAAAATAAACCTAAATGTAACTGGAACTAAATTTATTTGGCTCCCTTTCTCTCTGTGCGTCAGTATCACTAACATTTTCAAGGTGTGGTCAGGCATGGTGGTATGTGTCTACAATCCTAGAACTCAAGAAAGAGGCTGAGACAGGAAGAGAGCTGAAACTTTGAGGCCAGTTAAAGTGACTCAGAAGACTTGTATCAAACAAAACAAACAAAACAAAAACTGCCACTGGAAATAAACATCAAGACAAAGTGGATCAGGTGGTAAGGCAAGAGTTAATAAGATGAATATTTATCATTGCTATTCCATGTACCAGAGTCACTCCAAATGAACAGAGATGGCTAATAGAGTAACAAAGTAACAAGAAGTATAGCTACTCAGATTTGAACCTTTAGCTACAATGTATTCACAGCAACAGACTAGCAAATACTCTCCCAGAAATAAATTCATTGTTTCAATTTATCAGAGGAAATAAAAAAGGAAACAGTAAAAATATAAGGGTTATAGAAAGCTGTAAAACCTTATCTATAACATGCAGCAAAAGTTTTTATCTAGAATGTTTGTGGAATATAGAATGTATTGAGGAGGCCAAATTACAAGCTGGGTATAGTGGCACAAACCTTTAATCTCAGCAATTGAAAGGCAGAGGCAAAGCCGGGCAGTGGTGGCGCACGCCTTCAATCTCAGCACTTGGGAGGCAGAGGCAGGCGGATTTCTGAGTTCGAGAGTTCGAGGCTAGCCTGGTCTACAGAGTGAGTTCCAGGACAGCCAGGGCTACACGGAGAAACCCTTTCTCAAAACAAAAAAAAAAAAAAAAAAAAGGCAAGGCAGAGGCAGGTAGATCTCTATGAGTTCAAGGCCAGCCTGGTCTACAGCAAATTCCTATCCAGTTGTGGATACAAAATGAGACCCTGTCTCAAAAACAAAGAAAACAAAAACCTTCTTCTTTTTTTTGGTTATGAAAGTTACTACAAAAAAAAAGGGGGGGTGGTTTCCATACATTTTGAACTCCATTCTAAGCCAATAAGTAGTCAAAAAGAAATACCTGTTAAACACCTGTTTTCTTTGTTCCTTTCAGGTACACATAAAACCATGACTGCTACCTTACCACCTCGGAAAAAAGTAGATCCATAGTTTTTAAGCAGTCTTCATCTTCCATGACACTTTCTGAACCTAATCCCCATTTTTCCCCTTTCAGATAATGATCACTTGTTCGTGTAACTTTAGATTATCTGTAAAATCTTAGATCGGATAAACAATTTCAACCTCAAAATACTACCAATTCAATCTAACTACATAAATACTGGAGAGGATAAAGAGTTAGAATAAACTCGTTCCGAAGACACTACAATAGATCTTTAAGAACATTACAACATGCAAGTGGATTCATTGTTCCAAAAGAGATACAGTACTACATGAATCCGAATGTAAAACTATAACACAGAACATTAACTAAAATAAAAACATTCTCTTCATAGGAATTAATCACACAATTTCAAGCACTATAAGTCACCTTACACCCCCAAACTGTTCAGATCAATCTGAATCACACACAGCTAAGCCCACCCCAACCAAATAGTAGAGATTTGGCTTTTGGCTATTCTCAAGACACCCTACCTTGTCTCCACTTGAAGCAAATTTTTACTTAAAATGTGCCTACTGTTCCTACAGAGCCAACAAAAAAAATCAGCCTGTAGATGGCCACAAACTGAATGATAACTGCTGGTATTAATTAAAAAAGAAAAAAGAAAAAAAAAAGGACTGCTTCTAGGTTTTCAGGAAGTTCATCATGAAAGGCAACTTTTTGAAAATAACTTTTTAAAAAATAACTTTTTGAGACTTTTTGTTTGGAGACTGAGGGCTGAGAAAGGTAGTGATAATAAGGAACATAAACCTGAAGAAGTTGAAGAAGCCAGCTTTGTTAAAAACCAAGTGGCCACTTGCCAACACTTCTTTATGCATATGTGACCAAAGACGACAAGTCTAGGCTTCCTCTCGGTCCACATCAGCTTCTCATCAAATCTCGAATTAAGAAGGATCTCACAAACATTTCAATATTGGTAAGTTAAAAGGACCGTCCAAACAAAAGATTTTATAAAGCTTCGGAGAATCAATATGAAAACAAAGCTTTAAGCTTTTCACAATTTGAACCTCCCCCCCCCTCGGCCCCACAAAAAGCACACATTTTAAATGTCACACAAACAGCCTATTCACGGGCACCTAGGGCTTAGATTCCGGCACTGGAAAGGGGGCTAGCTTCAGTTTAAAACCTCAGCAGGGAAGAAAAAGCAGAATTCTGACTGGCAACTGACGAAACTCGGGAGAACCCTGAATCGAATTCTTGGTTCGAACTTCACTCACAACCATTTTCAGATCAGGACTCTCGACTCCCTGTAAAGCTGTCATCCGTGAACGAAAAGGCTAATAAGGAGACCCCACAAACACCCAGGACTACTATACTCCATGATCCGTTCTCAGAGAGTGGAAGCAACAGCAAAGTGGAAGGAACAAAGCACTGACGTCAATTACGAGATTAACCCTGCGCACAGGCAGCTGGGGAGGCCTAAACATCAATACCCTAAGCCCGGCCATTGCGATCGCCAGGTACCAGGCCGGTTCCGAGTGGGAAGGAGGGTTTCTCGTATTCCAACCCAGATTCCTATTTTTTCACTCAAACCCCATCGACCATCAAGGACGGAAATTCTCCCCACCCCACCCCCTCCTTTTTTTTCTTTCGGTGGAGGGGAGATGGGAGAGTGGGGGTGGGGGGAGGTGCGCAGGATCGCGAGAAGGAAGGCGAGAACTAGTTGAGAAATGATAGCCAGAATCTGGGCCTGTTTTCTCTTTAACTAGAAATGACTTGAGTTGGACGAAGGATAAATTTTTTAAAGGATAAATCCGTCGACTGAATCTAAGGGGGTAATGGAGGAAGGGACGACAGGGTTGGGAAAAAAAAGAAACGGCCAGATGATGGGCATCCGGAATGTCGGATGGGATGGGTTCGCCTTTAAAAATAAAAAATTATCTTTCTTGTTTGAAATTTATTTCGGAGAGAAAAATGGGACAAGAAGACGGAGGGCGAAGCCTTATTGAGTGGGCCCCCGCCCCGCGGGTCTCCGCCAGCGTCAGCGGCCCGAGCCTCGCCATCCCCGCGGCGCGACCGCGCCTCAGTCAGACGTCAGTCAGTCAGTCGGCTTCTCACCTCCAGTCCCCGCTCCGCTAGGCCCGAACCATCTCCCGACCGCGGCGGCGGCGGCGGCGGCGGCGCCCGGCCTGCACCTTCACCGGACGCGCATTCGGGCCCGCCCAGGAGGCGGCGACCGGCTGCCTAGGGCGAGGGGCAGCGGCGGATCCGGAGGCCACGGGGAGCCGAGGCGGCGCACCTCACACGGCGGACGCCAGGGTTCCGCCCCGCTCCATGACGGCCCGGCCGAGCCCCGGACGGGTGACTGAGGCGGTGGCGGGGGCGGACTGACGGGGCCCTGGCACCGAGATCCCCGCCCCGTCCGCTGGGGGCGGGGGCGGCGGCGGCGGCGGCGGCGGCGACGACGACTCGACTCCCGCAGCCAGGACTGGGACTGACGCAGTGGCCGCGGCCCATGTGACCGGGGCCGGGCTGCTGCGAGCGTCACGTGACCAGGCCGCGCCCCTCCCGCAAGCAGCGCGGGGGCTGCGGGCCTGCTGCTCCGGAGGCGGCGTCCGCGGGGCTGACGTGCGGGCTGACGTGCGGGGCGCCTGGGCCCGGGACCCGGGGGAGGCAAAGCGCAGGCCGCCGCGGATTCCGTGGGGCCGCACCAGGGTCAGACCCAGGGACAGAACCCGACCCCGGGCACACGCCCTCCTGCGCAGCCCGCTAGGGAGGCGCCGCGGGGCGGGGCGGGGCGCAGCCCGACCGACCGGTTTTGGGGTGCAGGTGAAGGCAAGGGGCCTGGCCGCCCGAGTCTCTCGCAGCACTCCACAGGGGTAAGGAAGGAAGGGTGACGTGGATGTCCGCAGCACGTCGTCCACTGCTGCGTGTGACTTACTGTGGGAGGATGAGCCGGCCCTCATCCTCATTTTTTTCTTAAAAAAACACAAAACAAACAAACAAAAAACCCTCGTGAAGCCAGGCGTCGTGGCAGGCCTGTAATCCCAGCACTTGGGCGGCCAAAGCCAGGAGGATCGCCATGAATTCGGCCTCTGTGGGCTACTTAGTGGATTCAAGGCCAATCTGAGCTACTAACAAAACCCTGTCAAAACAACACACCTGGGCAAACACACACACACACATACACTTCATCGCCTTTTAACATCCTGCTAGTCGAGACAAGCCATAATTTAATTGGAATCAGTGATTATACGGACAAGGTTTTAATGTCTCCTAGAACTCAGTAGTGCAAGAAAGGTGTCCTCTTCCTCTACATCTGAAAAACATACAATCCTCTCATTGGTGACACGTCTCTTACCTGCTTTCTTTATTTGGTGGCACCTCATGAAGATTTTCCACCACTAAAATCTTGAAACACTTCACTCGTTATTTTTAAATTATGTTTGTAGTTTGTAATCTCACACCTTGGAATCCACTCAACTACACACTTGAGTTCTAAGCCATGTCTCAAAAACACTAAATAGGGATGGCCTGGCAGTGCATACCTCTAATCCCACCACTCTGGAAGCAGAGGCAGGGGCATGGCTCTGAGTTTAAAATTAACCTGATATACATGTCCAGCTCTGGGCCAGCAAGGCCGTATAGTGAGATCCTGTCTCAAAAAACCAAAAAACACTAAATAAATCTTAGGTTTTACATACAGTTTCCTCTATGTAGCCCTGGCTGTCCTGGAACTCACTTTGTAGACCAGGCTGGCCTTGAGCTCAGAGATCTGCCTGCCTCTACCTCTTCCTCCCAAGTGCTGGGATTAAAGACATTTGTCAGTGTACATGGCCATCTTTTTTACTTTCTTATGAAAACTATTGGTGGTGGTGAGATAGTTCAGTGGCTTAAAGATACTTGCCACACAATCTTGGCAACCTAAATTCAATCCCTGTAGTACATAAATGTCTTACCACAACAGGTGCACCCTCACATCACACACACACACAGCCACTTGAACGCTACAACAGGATCTCAAACAGGATGGTGGCACATGGATGTAATCTCAGCTACTCAGCAGCATGAGGCAGGAAGATTGCAAATTCAGCAAATGTACCTAAGCTATATAGCAAGTTTGAAGCCAACCTGAGTAATTTAACAAAGTCCTGTTTCAAACTAAAATGGGGGGGGGGGAAGCATGGGAAGGGGCTAGTTATTACACTGGGGAGGGGAAAGAGTTCAAGACAGTTTCTCTGTGTTCATCTCGCTGTCTTTCCTAGAACTCCTTCTGTAGACCATACTGGCCTCCAACTCAGAGATCTGCCTGCCTCTGTCCCCCTAGTGCTGGGATTAAAGTCCTGCGCCACCACTGCCTGCCTGTGGTTACTTTTCTTGTTGCTGGGATGAAGCAACTTGATGAGAGACAGCTGGCTTATTACTCAAGCCAGTACAGTCTTCTGTGTTGGCCAAGGAAGCTATGGTAGCCAGAGCCTAATACAGTTGTTCATGATTTGGGCAGATCAGGAGGGAGAGAGAGAAAAGTTGGGACTCAGCTACTGTCTCATTTTCCTCTTTTTATTCACTCTGGTATCCAAGCCCATGAGATGGTGCCAACTACATTCAGGATGTTAATCACCTCTGAAAACACAAGGCAGAGACACACCCAAAATACTTTAAAAATGTCCCAGGCATTTCTTCATCTAATCAAGTTAACAATAAAAATTAACACAGCATGGTGTGATGGTACCCACCTTTAATCCCAACACTTGGGAGACACAGCCTCAGGAGAGCCTAGAGCTCCCTGTGTAGCTGAGAATGGACTTGAATGTCTGGTCCTCCTGCCTCTGCATCCCTTTGCCGAGATTACAGATATGCACCCTTTTGCTTGGCTTCACAGTTCTAACACTGTTCAAAGACCTGAGACTTGGGGTAGTCTTCTAGATGCTCCTGTAAAATGAACAACAAGTTATGTTTTTCCATTAAACAACAGTGTGGAGAAAGCATTCACATTCCAGAAGTGGGGAACAGGAAAACAGCAAGAAGAGATCAGACCAAAGCAAGACCAAAATGCAGCAGGGCTAATGACAACTCTTGCAGTCCCGCATTCAGTATCCAGGGCTTGTAATGGCTCATCTGAGTTCTAATAGGCTTGGGTAGTCTGGGAGGAGGAACAGTAGGAAAGCTGGTAGAAGAATGCTTGCCTCTCATGAAAGTAATGTATTTCATCCCCAACATGACAAAAACAAGTGTGACATTGCATGCCTATAATCTTAGCACTCAGATGTGGAAGCCAAAGGATCAGGAGTTTAAGGTCATCTTTAGGTGCAGAGTAAGTTCAAGGCCGATTTAGGGCACTAGAAACACCTTAACCTCCTCCCCCAGAAAAGAGAGTTTCAAGATACCAGTTCAGAGTCAAGTTAGTGAGTTCATTGAAAACGGTTTTTGTTTGAAATAGTCTCGTGTAGTCGTGCAGTCTGGGTATTACAACACGTAACTTTTCAGTCCCTACCTCCTGAGTGCTGGGATTGAAATCTCGCATCCCACCATGCCCAGCTTTAAGTGATTTATCAATGGCAACAGTTTCTAGAGATACATTGTTTAAAAAGTTTCTAAGGAACTTTGTTTCTTTTAGTTCATCAGCTCCTAGATTGGTTCCTGAGTTGCCCTAGATATGGGTAGAGGCTGATGAGATAAAACTACAGACCTGAGCTGCAGAAAAGACTCAACCAACCATTATGATCACTTGGTGCTCTTTTTAGAGGACTTGGGTTTGGTTTCAAACACCCACATGCCCTCTCACTACTGTCACTCTAGTTCCAGGAGCTCTGACACCCTTTTCTAGCCTTCTTAGACACCAGTGTACATGTGGTGCACAGGTACACATACATGCAGATCATTCACACACACACACCTAAAAAAAAGCAGGAATCCACGTGTCTTGTATCTGAGGGATCCTTGCCATACTAGGTCATAGTTCAGATGTGTTTTAACCATCAACAAAGTTTGCAGCCTTGATTGTGAGATTTTCAGAAAGTTACAAGGTCACAACTGAGAAAGTAATGAAGTTAAAGATTATATGAGGGTAGGTCTTAAGTATGATTGCTGCTGTTTTAACAGTCTTATTTGCCAAGATTTGCCAAGTGCCTCCCAGCAGTAAGGAGACAGAGGCAGAAAAGTCTTATGAGTTTAAGGCCAACTTGGTCTGCCACATCATGAGTTCCAGGTCAGCCAAGACTACACAGTGAGATACTGTTTCAAAGAAATCCAAACTAAAAACATTCATTTAAGAAAGAATCTTGTCGGCTGGGTGGTGGTGGCGCACGCCTTTAATCCCAGCACTTGGGAGGCAGAAGCAGGCAGATTTCTGAGTTCGAGGCCAGCCTGGTCTACAGAGTGAGTTCCAAGACAGCCAGGGCTACACAGAGAAACCCTGTCTCGAAAAACCAAACCAAAATAAATAAATAAATAAATAAATAAATAAATAAATAAATAAATAAAAATTAAAAAAATAAAGAAAGAATCTTGTCTTAACATAGATGATCTCAATAGTGAATCTTGCTTATTTGTGACAAAATTCTCCACAGCCCATGATAGGATAGGCTTAAGCAGCCTCAAGTGAACCAGCCTCTGTTCCTTCTCATTCTTCTGAGCCCTCTAGGTCTCTCTGTCTGGCCTCAGCGCCACACCCTGTGGGTTTGTTTGCTTGCTTTCCCCCACTGCTTGACCGCCTCTTATTTGCTGGCACTCTTCCATCTGTTCCTGATTTCAGAGGTGACAAAAACCTTATCTTCAGACATTTTCTCTCTCTCTCTCTCTCTCTCTCTCTCTCTCTCTCTCTCTCTCTCTCTCTCTGTTATCTTTATCTAGACACCAGGGTTAGCAAAAAATTTTCTACAAAGGCCTAAAAATTTTAGTACTTTTTTTTTTTTGCTATCACTACTTCTTTTGTTTGAGACTAAGTAGTGTCTCTTTCTTTTACATTTTTTTTTCTAAAAAACAAACAAAACAAAACAAAAACCACTCTTTTATTTACTGAAACTCACCAACGTGAGACACATTCACACAAAGACTGTGAAGAGGGCAGCTGGGGGTTATCACCAAGAACAAACCTGGGTAATGACTTCCCTACCTTCGGGGGCCTGTGTGAGGAGATCACCTTAATACTGTATACCATGTCCGGCTCCCTCCCCCACCCTACCCCCATCCACCTCCCCACAACAAGATAACA